TTGTACGGATTTACGTATTATGCAGTACTACTTTCATGCTATTAAATGTCAACATATTGATTCTGAATTTTTACCATTGCAATTCCAACATTTCAGGTATGAGTAATCATTTGAGATTCATCGTATCGCATGGAAAAATTTTATTCAAGCGAATGACGAATGGAAGTAGAAATGGGACAAAGCCAATTCCATTCTGATGCCGACAAGTATTACCATAGTCGAACTTTTGTTAAGGTTGAAGGATAAATTTGGTATTCTTGATCCCGGCACTCAAATTGAATTGAAATTCAATGTTCCTAACTTGAATATACCTCTGGCCAAAATATGCGACGATGAAGACTTAAATTGGTAGTAAAAGTGGTTGTCAAATGTAATCCCAAAAGTGTTTTCCCTATGCAGTGTACATTTCAAACTTATGTTATTAATTTGTTGTTATTACTTATTATCATATGCCAACAAAAAATTGATCGTTATGTTTCACAAGTAAAGTATCGATCCATTAGCACAAACGGGATGAATACGTTATTTTCATTATAAACTTAGCTGATCATTATGGTTCCATTAGCTTCAACTGATAGTTTGTCGAAATGAAAAATTGATTTTCATGAGACTATAATTTACAAGCAAAGCACCAACATTACGTCCAACAGTTCATATATCGTTCCTAACAGACAGTCTCTGTAATTCTCAACAATTGGGAACAATAACGGCTTCCAAAAATACATTACTGCGGTTACCCATTATTAACATGTTGTTGCTGCACGTACGCAAAGGACGTGACCAAAATCATCCCTACCACAAAATATTATACATAATTTCCTACAAAATGGTCATTTATTGCACACTTGCATTACTATCTCCATTTTAAGCTTCTCCCCCACTTTTTCCATCATAATCGTATGAGCTTATGACAATTATTTTTAGAGGTGGAAGGTGAGCCAGCCACTCACCCGAGTCGGACGATGATTGGATCGGACCTTTGACCTCGAAGACTTGATCGAGCACGCTGTTCGTTGACTTAGATTCTACACTTGACACTTTGTCGAACTCGGCACCATGGTGCTCGACATTTATCTCCTCATCGTCTTAGGATAAAACGATTGGAAATTCAGTGGCCGAACCTAGTATCAGTGGATGCATATTAGGGTTGAATGGTTCGTCACTGAAGGTGAATGAACCCATTATCTCATATCAACTAACTGTTTCAATATGGGAGTCTCACAAGAGCTTCTCTAGTCTTTCAAGGGGTGGATTATGAACATAAACTCATGCATTGTTATTTATAATGAACTTGTTGGAGGATGATTAATTATGGTCAATTAGTTCCTAACTACCAACTTATTTTCATCACATCTCAAATTTAATTTGATAGACAATTGGTGTGATGCTTTGAATCACAAAGTGTACTTGTATTGGTCAGACATTTACTATCATTTCCTGATTGGTGTTTTAAAGGAGAAACTTCTAAAATGCACCAACTTCCACTTTTCCGAAAGCGAGAAACTTATAATCTCTATAATTTTCATTTATAAACTACGATCCGGGTATTAGTCAAACTTAAAATTTCCATTTTTTCGAAAGCGAGAAACTTATAAAATGAACCAATTTCCTCATTTTTCAAAATCGAGAAACTTATGAAATGCACCAATTTTCAATTTTCAATTGAATGCCAGTTTTAATCTCAAGGTTGAAAGAGTTCATATGGCAAGAAACTTACAAAGTGCGCCAAAAACAATTTCCGCACCAACATTTTTCGTACTAAATCCATACAGTTTCTTTGACAGTGAATGTCACTTGAACAGAACCAAAATTTCCCTAAAAAATAAATATACAATAACGTAAAACAAAATGTTCCTCCATGCATTCTCCGCAATCACCCAAAGTGGAACATTGTCAACGTCGCTCTTTCTTTGACAGGGACATCAATTGGTTCCTCCTCCCATTATGGTTGATGCCAATGGTACATCAGTGTGTACTCCTATGCAAAAGTTGTTTGTGTTGTATTAGTTACCAAAATTTAATAATAGAAGAAAATAACATATTCTTACAAAATTTGAAGTATAACATCGAAATGATATGTTTGTCTTCAACTAAACATATTTAATGTAAAACATAAGAATTTGATATTATATAACTACCTCATTACAAAACTTACCATCTGCCACAAGCATAGGGAACTTTGTGATCGTCCGATCATGTACCTTTTGGGTCTACACCTTCACATGAAATAATTAAATTTCAAATACCAAGGTTAAGAAATCAAAATAGTTGAACAATTGTTTTCTAAAACTGAAAGTAGTAACATATACCAATTGCCTCCTTTACCCATCTAGTCAACGAACCCTTCGGTAGTTTGGACTACCAACTTTCTGATCGGTATCTTCATACAAAACAACCATGCTTGAAATCATAAATATAAAAACTTCAAACGGTGGGACAAATGGGTTTTTGAATTAAAGTGATAATACATACCAATCTCCTCATTTACCTAGCGAGCCGATGGACCCTCCGGTAGTCCAGGCAAGCATTTTTTTGGTCGATCACTTCTTTATCTAGAATGACAGTTTATCTCTATAGATGGATTCATAACTCTTATTTTTATATTTCATGAAGTAATAATGGTACTCAGATGATATGTTTTACATTTCAACACCTAAAATGATACGTAGAAGAGAAGCTTAACAAAATTTGGCTTCTGCAACCAACTGTCAAGATAAGTAGGTCAACTGCCGAGAATTTCAGAGCCTAACTATTGAGAATGACAGTTCATTTCAACAGATGATATTGTTACTATCAGAATTGACATTTACATTTCACATTTATATTGGTTTTCCAAGACATGAAAGATCAAGTTATGAAAAACATTACATGTGTTACACTTATAGCTTTAAATAGCACCACTTTTCATAGATTCAGCTATAAGTTTTATATGTAAATGAAAAGACACTTTCAAGAATGAAAAATAGAATGATCCAACACTAAAACAACATTCAAATAACTGTGAATAATCATATAAAGACACATTTAGCCGAGCTTATTTGTACATGTTGACAAGAATATACCCAATTCAATCTTGACTCATTTCACAAACTCAAAAATAAAACACAAACTCAATTTGCTCAATAATGACCAATAACTATTATTTACATGAAAGAAAAGTGAAAAACATAATTATAAGAAATAAATTCATAGATAACTTACATAAACCATAATGTTAACATTTTCATAGAATAGAAAAATAGACAACAAAAATTGAAAAAATGAGATATGTTGTACCAATCTAGGTCAAAAATTGTGAAGAATAAAAAAATAAATATCCCTAAATTTTAAAAATTAAAAGAGAAGAGAGCAAGAAATGCAAAAGGAAAGAAAAAGAAAATCTCAAGAGATTAATGATAATCTTCATCGACAGTGGACTAATTAATGGTCATTTAACTTCAAACCTGGACAAAATGGAGGATTATAACACGCCTGAGGCCATGAGTGAGAGGAAATGAGAGGGGAAAGCAAGCTGTTTAGATTTAGGGAATGAGAGAGAAGAGAGGATTTTTACCTTTTTAGAGAATGGGAGAGAGAATGAAAGGATTCTTATATACACACACACACACACACACACATATATACATTCATATACGTATGTGTGTATATATATATATATATATATATATATATTAAGAATCCTTTCATTCTCTCTCCCATTCATTCTGTGTGTGTAAGTAGTCAGGTGAGAGCATTTGATGTGATATTTTAAAAATATTTGTACTATTTTTTCATCTAGTGTCAAATCAGTTTTTAATGAAAAACATGTAGGGTATTTGAATTATCTTAGAAGGGCAAAAATGTCCAAAATTGACAATCATACAAAGACTTTAAAAAAGTGGCATTTCTGTAAATGTAAAGCCAAAAATAGACTATTATAGTAATTCCCACAAATTAAAATCCAAAATAATGTTATTGTACAACCAGGTTGTGATTTCGCAGCAACCTCAAGGTCGCGCCATTACCACCACGACCAACCAACATCATAACCACGACCAACCAAATACTAAACACCAAAAATCATATCCAAATATTAGAGAACAGATGAAGAAGACGACTTGGGATGAGATGCAGGAAGAACTAAACATCAAACACCGCGCCCCCCGAACATCGCAACTACTACCAACCGAACACCAAAATTAAGATCCAAAACTAAAAAAAAAAAATCGAACGAAGACGACGGCTGGGAATTGGACGCCGAAAGAACCAAGCATTGTGAGTTCGTAGTAGCGCCCGAGAGAATCGGGCTGCAGTGTCCAAAGCTACTTACTGACGATAAAGACTGCGACTAGAAATGAGATGCCGGCTACTGTGATATGTGAGATAGAGAGATGGAATAGTGAAATATTAATTCCACCTGTGAAAGAAGAATTCAAATATGACGACTATAATAGTGAAATAACGGTCAAAAAATCAATTTTTTGGGCCAAAAAATCACTTTCAAACATGCTGTTAGTATTGTTATAAACAAACTTTATATTTGATTTTTTATATTAAATATTAAAAAATCCGATTTGATTTAATTACCACAAAGATAATTTACTGGAAGTACATTAAGCTTCATTTAGGCCTAGAGGCCATTACTAGTAAGCCCAAAAGATCTGAGGGGGTTGATCTAAAAAAATAGCCAGATGAAAGCCATGTAATCTTAAAAAATGCTTTCAAATACCACATATTTTGTCTTACAAGTGTAAATTTACATTGTGATCTAGTCAATGTAACAAGCTAACATAACAAGGAATCCTTAGAGAAAATTACCGTCAAGTAAGAACCAAGGAAAGATGTTAAATTTTTTTTGACGGAATAGTTACTTAGTAATAAAATTGAAAGAATTGAAACTTAATGAGAATTGAAAAAAAAAATGAGGGACTAAGGTAAAACTTTTCTCAAAGTTGGACACTGTCTAATGTCTTTTTAAGTTAAGGTCATAAATAAGGAGAAATAAATGAAGGGGAAAAAAAAATCACACTAGAAATGTTTAATCTGATCCTCTTGTCAGTCTTGTGTTAACACGCGCTGTGCTCCTTCCTCGCCTCTTCATCTCCTCTCCTCCTATATAATTTAGGGTTTCTTTTGGCGGATCTCAATTTTCTGAATTCGTTATTTAGAAACCCCGTATATTCAATTATCAAATGGAAAATATATGGAGAAATTATTTTAGTGCTGGCTTGACCCTTTTTCTTTTTTTGGGGAAGCTAACTTGCGCCGACCCTGTTAGGGTTTCATCATCGCCAGTTTGTCCCTTAGAATCCGTCATAGATTCCATCTTGGGGTCCCATGATTTCACCTGTTCCGTCAGTGGGGTCCGATCTTTTTACACCGCTGGTGTAATTGAGGTATCCTATTAAGTTATTTAAACGTTATCTTATTCAGAGATTTTGTTTTGATTTTTCTTTATTATTTTTTGAGCTATTTGTTTTGCTGGATTTACGTTTTTCTTGATCAGCTAATTGGAAATTGGGCAATTCTTTGGTAGGTAGATTTTGAATTGTCAGTTGTCTTGACTGTTACGTTTGTGCTCTATAAAAAGTACGGTTTACAATAATTCATGTTCTGAGATGTGGCTGTAAATATAAAACGATGAAGATTTATGTTAACCTTTTCAGCTTTTAACATAATTTTCATTTTATTACAATTTATGGTATACACTGATAGCGTAGTTTAGTTTCTTAGATTAGCAGGGGATAAATTATATGTCTATTATCCAAGAAGAAAGGCTTGGTGATTTTTTTTTTTTTTAGACTATGATTGAATGCATAAATGCAATTTTAACCATAGTAGGAATAAGGACAACAGCAGTCACAATACTGGATCATGCTGTCTCAAATGATGATTGTTTTAGCTATTTGAGTTCAATTTTTAACGGTGAACAACTTGTAGAGGATCTACATATAATATACAGGATTAGTCGAAGTCGACCAAAATTGAGAGCTGTTATAGGAATTATATGTGTGCTAGCGATGCCTATAACTTTACAAGTTAAAGGGTAAGTTCTGTAAAATTATTATTATTAGACAAGTGATTCCTTATCATAGGTCTTCAAATGATAAAGTATCCATGAGGTGTTAAAAAATAGATGTACAAGCATGCTAGAACAAATAAATTAAGAATTGGTGACTTATGCAATAGCCTATTAGTGGAGATAACACTGATGATGTATAAATTAAGGGAATGGAGACATAGGTCATTAAGGCATGTTTAGACCCAAAGATGCTTATGTTCATACGAGCAATTAATCTCATTAGAATTAGTCAGAAAATGGAGCATAGGCTGTTTGGTTATTAGTGTTCATCTTATTCTACTTCATGTCAAGAAGGAATTTAGACACGATGCTCACACATATAATCAAAAACTAAGTGGACATATATAAGACCCATGTTTCACTATCATGACCACATTTCAGCACATATGGAATTATGAAAATACCCCATACTTTTTAAACCAAGTGGGATTTTGTAAGATCCTTGTGTCACCATCATGAGATCATGACCACATTTCAGCACATAAAAAATGACCAAAATAAACTTAGTAAAATCACACAATCAACATGGCAAGCTCTGTCTACACATTAGAAACTACCATGGACAGTTATGTTTGGACCAGAAAGTTTTCTTAATTGTTGTAGGATTGACCTATCGTTTTTGTAGGCTTCTAAAGTGTTTGTCTTTGCTATCCTTGTAATGGTATTGCATGATGGTAGTTAATTAGCTGAACTTGCACCTTCTGGGTTGTTTCTACGTAATTGGAATGGGATGATTTTTAAGTCACTAGAAGACAAGCTATTTACTATGTCAGGTCCCAAGGGGATTGCACATAGAGATGTGTGCCAACTTGGCATAATTATCAATCTTTAATATTTGGTTATGAAGTGCTCTTCAAGCTATTTACTATGTCAGGTCCCAAGGGGATTGCACATAGAGATGTGTGCCAACTTGGCATAATTATCAATCTTTAATATTTGGTTATGAAGTGCTCTTCAAGCTATTTACTATGTCAGGTCCCAAGGGGATTGCACATAGAGATGTGCCAACTTGGCATAATTATCAATCTTTAGTATTTGGTTATGAAGTGCTCTTCTCCCTTCTTCATTCTTCTCCTTTATGTGATGGGGATGGAGATTGCCAATATTTTTATCCGTATTTTGAAATATATGTTGCTTGTTGACTGCTTTTTAATCTTGTTTTTAGAGGAGAGTTGTGGTAACAGTAATTTTTTGTTGGTGAAGGGGAATGAGGTCGCACTTCAGAAGGCACTGCATATGGTTCACAAAAATACACACGACTATGTTGCTCTTCTCTTTTATGCTTCTTGGTGTCCTTTCTCTGGCACATTTAGGCCAAGCTTCTCCGTCCTGTCCTCCCTTTTTCCTTCTGTTCCTCATTTTGCTATTGAAGAATCAGCCGTTAGGCCAAGGTCTGAACTTCAACAGTTGTTACAACCCTTTTTTTAATTTTTTTTTAACATTTCTAATTTTGGATTAATATCTATCATATATTTTCAGTATCTTATCCAAGTATGGAGTTCATGGGTTACCTACTTTGTTTCTCCTGAACTCCACCACGCGTGTGCGATATCATGGTTCTCGAACCCTTGATTCTCTTGTCTCCTTCTATGGCAATGTTACTGGTAAGGCTGCTATTTTCAATCACTCGTTTAGTGCATTTTTATTCAATTAACTTACTTAGGGCCAGTTCGAGCCCCATTTTTGGGTGTAGAATGCATTTTGAAATAGTAGATTGATGAATAATGTGTAATTAAAAAATAAGGAAAAGTTTTAGGTTCGTGTATAATATTATTTAATTGAAGAATGTGTTGTTGAAAAGAAGAGAGAGAAAAATGTATTTTGAGAATAATGGTATCAAATGTCTTAGCTTTTTTCATGTCTTCATCACATTTAATCTTTAAGGCTAACACAAAAAGCTCTGGAATTTAATTTGACAATGTTATAGTAAGCCCTTGTTTGATCCTCATTATTCAGTAATTTATTTTTTCCCCCAAAACTTTTCCTTACTTTTAACCACACATTTTCCCCAAAAAAAATCACTATTACTAAATTTGTTTTAACATAAAAATGGGGCTCAAACAAGGGCTAAATAGGAAATGAAGCTAATGCCTACAAGTGGTCCTGGACGTAACCAGAAAGTAAACACTGTACCGGTGCTCTTACTTTGCAGTTATTCCTCTTGATAATTTATCCATTGCAATTCTTAGCATTTTAGGTCTAGCTCCCTTGTAGTTTTCTTGTTTCCAATTTCCCTGAATAAACTTTCATTCATCTGAGATTCCCAGCTGAAAAGTAGAGGAAGTGAAACAGAAAAGGAATGTGGAGAAAAACAATCCTGGAGAGTGCCCAAGAGAAGCAAGACATCTTTTTTTCTCACTTAATTCAGTGAAATGTCTTATCATTAATTTATACTAAGAAGTTATTTTTTAATTCAGGCATGAAGACGGCATCAGTTGATGGAGTATGTTTGGACAAGATTGGTTGCACTGGATATGAAGACGAGCACGAAAGTTACAAGGAAATCTGTCCATTTCCCTGGGCTAGATTCCCTGAAAATTTGCTTCAGCAGGAGACATGTTTGGCCCTGGCTACTCTATTTGTGATTTTGAGATTGCTCTATTTCTTCTTCCCAACTTTGCGGGGATGTGCTCAATTAGCTTGGAGAAGGTGTGTGTTAAAATTGGGGAGTTCGTGGGAGCATCCCGTTGTGTACCTAAACCGAGCAATACCGTTGTTCAATTCCCTTAAAGAACCTTGCAAGAAAAGCAATTTGCAGGAAGGAGCTAAGAACGCCAAAGTATGGGCATCCAAGTCTTTAGCTTCTGTTTCATTTGGCGATGCAAGCTCAAGCCATGATTTGTCAGTAAGTTCTGCCAACTGAATTTTTTTTCCTTTTTTTGGCTCCCAGGACATGATACCAGCTATTTAAAATATATATAAGGGTACGGAAGTATTACCAATTGTTGGTCAGAGTTTATTCTTTTGAAATTCCTTGCTGCCTATTTAGTGTTCTTTGTGGGGCTCTATATCTTAAGATGTGGCAAAGAATGCTCTATGTATGGCCGTTGTAATAATTAGTTCAATTTCGATGTAATGTAGATTAGAATTTGTTTTGACAGTCCAAGAACAGAAAAATAACAGTGGGTTTAAATCTATGTATAGCTGTTAACCGATGCCTGATTGTGAATTTCATTCTCCTCTTGTACTTGGCGGCCTATTGCCTACGGGTCTCTTGACCTCGCAAGATTCTATAATCTGTTCTTCAAGTTTTCCATGGAGAGCTGATTCTATGAGCAGCATGATGGGAATATTGTAAAAGGTATAATTTTCTAATGAATTTCTCATTTTTAAACTGGCAAAAGAGAGAAAGAGTTTGGTCTATTTTTCGGCTGCTTCCTGCAAAATGCAAATTACTGAATAGTTCGATTCCGGGTCAAAACAAATGACACTGGTCAAGATTCAAGAACTCAAATACTGAATCATATGAACAAGAATGGAAAAAACTTTCTTGTAGTTGTATTTAATTTCAATCATGATAATACACCTTTCAACAACGAAAACGAAGAGTTTAAATACCATGAAAACCCAAAACAACGGGAAAAAAAATGGTTAGTTTGTCACATTTCGTAAAAGTTAGGGACAAAAAATGCAAATTTTCCTTTTTATTTTTGAACTTAACATGTTCCAATCATTCCATTACACGTTAGCTATTTTAGGTTGATATTTTCTACAAATTAATGTGGGAGTAATGTTGCATTTACAGAAAAAAATTTGACAGATGTTTTACAAAATACTCATAGCAATGAGACTCATTACAATAAAATATTCACATGGGGTTCACCTTCATGTGTCTAACTTGTAGAATATCTGTGCAAAACTCCCTCTACACAGACTATTTCCCTTAACGTTGATCTTCTTTTCCTGTTCAAAAAGGAAATCTCGTAAAGTAGTTGAGGTTTCACCTCGAGATAGGCTCAATACTATGCTTGAAGGGAAAAAAATTGTGTTGTATCAATATTTTCTCCTCATCGTAGAACAAATGGTTTGAGCAAAATTGTTTTTTCAAAATTTTATATTTCTCCTATTAGTTTTAATTCATAATTTATTTTCTTATTTGTAAATTAACAACCATTGTTCTTGTTGAATTAAAGTAGACGAGTACCGTTTTGTTCCATGTTATACAGATACAGAATATGGAATTGAGAACCACATTACTGTATATTCTAATGATTGAGGACCGACAGAGAAATATTTCCATAATGCAAAGTTGGAACTTGGAAAGAGAGCAATTGTGACTCTATTTCTAGTCATGTGACCGACAAGACAGCTTTTGGTTCTCAACGTCTGCCAACTACAATCCAACGGCTCGTCTCTCCCGAACCAGAATGCAATGGTTATGATATCACCGAGGTTGTCTTCACACAATCCAATGCAGATTTTAATCGTCCATTGGACCCACTAAAAAAAAAAAAAAAGTTACTAAAAGCCGCAAAAACAAGGACTTCATTTTTAGAAGACTGATGCTTACCAACTAACGCGATATTTAATATTTGTTGCAATTTTTCATTCTGAAAAATCAATTTTTTAATATTTATTTCACTTTTCCAACCGTTATTTTTAACTACACTCATGATTGAAACACACCTTTCCCCCCAAATAAGCCGTGCTCGTTTGACTCCATTAATTTTCATTTCATTACATTTCATTTATCTCTTTTCTATTTTCAATTCCACAATTTTTCAAAAAATAA